GCATGCGAAAGCTGGACAGTGAATAGGGACAACTGTAGAAGAACTGATGCTTTTGAGTTATGGTGTTGGAAGAGAATATAGAAAGTGCCATGGGCTGCCAAAAGAACCAACAGATCTGTGTTTGAAGAAGTGCAGCCAGAGTGCTCCTTGGAGGCCAGGATGGCCAAACTTCGTCTTTCATATTCCAGACATATTGTCAGAAAGGACCAGTCTCTGGAGAAGGATATCATGTTTGGTGAGGTGGAGGGTCAGAGAAAAAGAGGAAGACCCCCAGCGATATGGATTGGCAAAATGGCAGCATCAGTGGGCTCAAGTGTGGCAACAATTGTGAGGTTGGCCCAGGACCAGGGAGTGTTTCGTTCTGTTGTGCATAGGGTCGCTATTAGTTGGTACCGACTTGATGGCACTTAACAACAAAAATATATGTAGTCCTGGTGTAGTGTTGTAGGATAAGCACTAGATTGCTAGCCATAAGGTCGGCAGTTTAAACCCACCAGCCACTCCTTGGAAACCCTTTACAGAGTCTCTGTGAGTTGGAACTGACTCAACTTGATGGTACTTCACAATGACATATGCTAGATACTGGGAAAACAGTGGGGTAAAATAGATTTTGTTTTCATTAAGTTTACATTCTGTTATGCACCATACTGTGAGACACAGAGGAAAAAGATATGGATCTTTAATAAACTAATAATAGTTTCTTAACAAACTTGTTAGGCAACTAATCAGAAGCTGAAAAAAAATCTAATAAAATAAATTGCTTTTATTAAAGATTTGTGAAGGAGACCTGGTAGCGTAGTGGTTTATGTGTTGGGCTTCTACCTGCAAGGTCAGCAGTTCGAGTCCACCAGGTGCTCTGCAGGAGAAAGATGAGACTTTATGCTGCTGTAAAGATTTACAGCTTTGGAAACCCTGTGCAGTGTCACTATCAGTCAGAATTAACTCCTTAGCACACCACCACCACTACCATTGAGATTTGTACAGAGTACAGTGGAGACATACTAAGAGGCACTTATATATTTCATGGGTAGTCAGAGAAGATTTCATAAAGAAGATAACTTTTGATCTGAGTATTGATGGATAAGTTTACCATAAGTAACAGCATAGATAGAAACTAAAATATGAGCAAGCATAGCTTATTTTAGAAACTACAAATATATTGTTAATAATATTATTGCTATTACTGTCACATAAATTAGGAGCCTTGGTGATTTAGATTGTCATGTGTAGGTCAGCAGTTCGTCTGTGGAAGAAACATGAGGTTGTCGGCATTCATAAAGATTGACAATGTTAGAAATCCTAGGGCTCAGTTCTCTGTCCTCTTGGCTTTCTATGAATTAGAACCAATGTGATAGCAGTGAGATAAGATAAACTGTAATAGGTGGGGAAGTGGCAAGAACCCCTTGGAACAATCCTAAGTGCCAGGTCATAAATTATTTTGTGTGACATATAGCAGTTTAATTTCATATCATTAAACACAAAGATACTGAAGAAATTTTGGCAGGGGTGTTTTATACCTTCAGAGTATTAAGTGTTGAGATCTGAGAAACAGCAATACTCAAGGCAGGGTAGGAAATACTTAGGACTTGATGTTGGAGAGTAGCATGGAGAGATGAGCTAACAAAGGTTTCAGAGCTCTAGGTTTGATAGGACTCTGATTTTTTATTTTTGGAAACTTTATTGTAAATTGAGTGAAGATTTAGAGAACAGGTCATCAGTTTTACACTCAATAAATCACACACTTTGTTTCATTTTGTAGATTACATTCCCCTCCATGTAACAACAGTTATCCCACTTCCTCCTGTGGTTTCTATTTCCATTCCACCCTCCTTCCCAGCCCCTCTGAACCATGTCCCCAGGTAAATGTTGACCTTTTGATCTTGGATGGTTGACCATTTCATGGTGAACATACCTTACTCATGTTGTCCCACTATATACCTCTCTACCACTTGGTTGAAAATTGGGCTACAAAGGTGTGTTCTGTCCCAGACCTGAAGGACCATACTGTCAGGTTCCTCTAGTTTCTTTCTGATCTGTAAGCTCACTCTTTTTTATAATTTTGAGTTTTGTTCCAAATTTGATCCCACTTATCTTGAACCTTCTAATGTGATTCTTTTCAGAGAAGTTGGTAGAGGTCGCTGGACACATCTAGTTCTTCTGGAATCAGAGTCATGGAGACTTATGTTCACATATTCCATTAGTCTGTTAAACTAATTGAGTCCAAGCAACTTAATTTTTTATCATTTTTAAATTCTGCATGTGGAGAGATCAATAGTTGCACTTTAGATTATCGCTGATGAGCTTTTAAGATCTCATTCACTACTCAACAAAATAGGAGGTAGAATATTGTCTTTGTGGACTATGTTACACCAGTTGACCATGTTATTTCCTGAGCCCCCAGTCCCAGCAACTGATTACCTCAAGGGTTTTGGTAATGGCTAAGAAGTTTTCCTTATTATGTCCCATGTATGCTCCACCATAGAGTTGTGGTCTGGCACTGTGGGTTAGTACAAGTTGGCAGTTTGGGCTTACCAGCTGCTCTTCGGAAACCTTATACAGGGTTGCTATGAGTTGGAACTGACTTTACGACACTTAACAACAAAAATGGCCTCTGTCCCCTTTAACCCTTGTGCTCCTCCCTGCCTTTACCTGTGTTTAGTATTCTTTTGCTAACCTCTCTCATATATTACCTTTGGTGTCACCCAAGTTAACACATATGTACCCTCTAGCCAGTTAATTATTCTCTGCTGGTAACCATAACAGAATGTTTCTTTTAGCATGAAATACTAAAAGACTATGCCTTGTCTGGAGTATTTCCAATAGTGGCCTCATACAATATTTCGTCTTTTTGTGACTAGTTTCACTCAGCATAATATCCTCCATGTTCATTCATGTTATGAGGTGTCTCACAGATTTATCATTATTCTTGAATGTTGCATGGTATTGCATTTTGTGTATGTACAAATTTGCCTATCCATTCTTTTACTGATGAGCATTTAGGCTGTTTTCCATCTTTTTGCTGTTGTGACTAGTGCTGTGATGAATTTGCTGTGATGAAATGTAAGGAAAAGAAAGAAAGAGTCTTGGCTTCAACAGCAGGCAGGTTTATTGAGAGTAAACCTGGAAGGGGGTACTCTTAAGTCACCAAAGAAGACCAAGAACCCATCTGTTTTCTTACAGACTAGGGTATTTAAGGCCATATGGTCTGGGTACAGTTCTGGGGAGTTTACAATGGGCGGGGATATGGAGATTTTCCTGAAACCTGAAATTACCAGGGGGAGGGTCTCCAGCTGTAACAGAGATTCAAGCCTTCCGGAGACCAGAAGCTTCAGCAGGACCCCATTCAGTGCCAATTGGGGGTAGTTGCAATGCCATTCCATTGATCAGGCACAAGGTCCTTCAGATATGCATATATCTACTCATGTCATGGCTCTTTTTGTGTGTGGATATATACTAAGAAAAAATGCTGGATCATATTATATTGTTATTTCCATATTTTGAAGTGCCATACGTTTTCCACAGTGGTTGAATCACTTCACAGTCCCATTACTTGACTTCCTCGTCATTTGGAAGTTCTGTAACTATAATTTTCCCTCTGTTTGCTTTTTAATTGTCATTATAAAATGATACTGCTGGTTCCCTATTGTCAATCTTGTAGGTTTGTTTTGAGCCCTGTTATGGCACTGTAGGATAGGCACTGGACTTGTAACCACAAGTTCAGCTGATCACACTTACCAGCTGGTTTTGGAAACCTTATACAGGGTTGCTAAGAGTTGGAATTGACTCAGTGGCACACAACAGATTTGTTTTACTTTGGATGCTTGATATAGCTTGATTGAATTCTTGGTGGTGTTGCCATGTATGTCAATCTCAGGTTGTTGTATGTTGTTGGTTCTCAGTTCAAAAAACTGCCTGTAGTATTTTTAATAAAGTTGGTCTGGTTATTATAAATTCTTTTAATTTCTGTT